ACCCTCACTCGCGGCGCAAGACGCCCCGACCGCAGACAGTGGAAGGCCGCCAGCAGCAGGGACCGGTACATGATGAACCTTGGTTAAGAGTCTTTAGCTGCAGCGCCGGGGTCGCTGCTGCCATCACCCTCGACGCCCGTGTTCCTGGCCCGCGATTGTTTCCATATGACGAACGTTGACGTTTGGCCCGCTCGCTGTTAACAACCGGAGTGGCGTAATTGTCGTCGGCTGGCTGCAGCACTGCGTTCCCTTTGCCTACGACCTCTATGCGGTCTTCATCGACGTCGCTAATGGCTTCAGTGAAGTTTAATTTCTGCATTAATGGCCTGCCACGCTTTGGGAGCTTCGGATCCGAATACTTTGCAGCGTTTGGTCCGGTCAGAAACAGCCCTTTTCCTCGTTGACTCGCGAGTGTGACCTTCCTAACGGTATCCATGGCATTGAAGTGCTATGATTTGGTTAACATGTATGTCTCCTGTAAGATTCTAGCGGCTTTGGCATGGACAGCCCGTTTTCAGCTGGAGGAATGAACTTGTACGGTCGGAACACAATCTATTCCTAATTCTCAGGAGCATGACAATTATGCATTCCGAATTCGGAAGTTATTCCACACACCAAAAGCTGGTGGGAAGGAGGGAGGGGAGCCCTACGGGTCAATCGGCCGCACGTGTGGTGCTCCCCAGCAGGGCGCCAAGGAATCCGCAACTCGAGCGATCCGTCCACGCAGTCCGCATCACTCCGCTCAAGGCACAACACTCCCACCCCGCAACCCCTCCTTCCTATCCCACCCACCTGCATGACCTGCGCCATGAGCTCCTCCCCCAGCCTCTCCGCACAATACTGCTCCAGGTTAATGCGCCGGTTGGATAACGACTGGGCATGCAACGTAACCTGCGGGGCGAGGGGGCAGGGGGACAAGAGGCGAGAGGCGGGGATACAGACATGCATTGTGTCTATGCCGGCAGATAAGAGGGTGATAACTCCAGCGCTGGATCCGGATTCCAATAATTCTTGCTCGTACTCGTCTTTTTCGTGTATGTGAATGTGGAGCGGGGGGGGTGTCGAGGGAGGAGACTAGCAGGCTTGCGGGGATGGAGCTGCGGCGCGTATTGGTTCGAAGAGCACGCTGCACATTCACCTTCCCTCTGTACGGCAGCCAAGAGTTCACATCTCCAACAACATCCTCTACACGTCCCCAGTGCAGCCGGGGGCCACCGGACAAATCCAAAGGGAAAGAACCCTCGTCCGCCCAAGCCCCCTCCATTCCCGAACAGGCAGCACCTGCCGTTCACCACCCGGTCCCTCCCTGGGCGCTCTCACATTAGACAGAGACACCAGCCCCTCGTCCGGCACCTCGTAATGGCTCGCGCGTGCCGGGACTCCAGGGGCGGGCGTCAGCGGGTCAGACGCCGCCAGGGCCCCCGCCAAAGAGGATAACGTCTGGTGGTTGTGGTTGTGGTAGTGGTTGACCTGTGGTGATGGAGTAGCCGGTTGTGGACTGCTGGCATGTCCTCCACCTCTTCCTCCTGCCAACACAGCAGAGCTGGCAGCGGTGGCGGGGGTATCCGCCACTGCGGCTGGGAGACCCCAGTTGAGTTGGCGTTGGGCTGAGGAGGTTCGTCGGGTGTGGATGGGCGGCAACGTCACATCCGACCTGCGAAGGGGTTGGAGCGGGTGCGGTGGGATGGGATGAGGTGGTGTGCAGAATGGAATGGAATGCTACTGGGACTGGGGTTGGGGTTGCAAGGCCGGGTTGTGGCGGTAATGGCAGTTGTGGGGGCTAGGGCTGCAGAGTCCTGCAGGGCTCCAAGTGAGGCCATTCCCCCAACCCCTCCCGACAGCTCTAATACTGGTTCAGGTGCACAGGTCCCCATGGAAATCTCACAGGCAGACAGACAGATAGACAGACGCATTTAGATGTACGCACTGTTTCTCCCCACCTGGCCGGCTCTTTGCAGCTGGTGCTATGTCCGAACCCAAACCCGCCCTGTGGCAGCCCCGCAGATAGCCAAGCCTCGTCAATAGCGCCGTTCTTGCCGCCACCGCCCTCGCCGCCACCCTTGCCGCCCACCCCTCCTGCCGCCGCCGCCGTGGGAGTGCTGCTACTGTCGGCCACCGCCTTACCTGCGGGCAACGAACCCACGCAGCAGCAACAGCAGCAGCACGATGAGAGAGCGGAAGGGAGAACGGTTAAAGCCAGTTCAATAGAGACCTTGGGCCCCAGAGTGAATACAAGGACGTAGTAGGGGTTGGGGGTGAACCGAGAGAGAGCAGTAAAGAGCACCTTTGCACTGTTTGAGGGCAAGGTCGTCGTCGCACGCAGGGTAGGGAGGTGAGCAGCCTTGGCCAGACGACATTGCTCATTTGTAGTAAATGCATAGAACCCTGGCGAGCGTTATTCGACTGCATGTTCTTCCACTGAAAAATCGGCCACATCCAACCGGTCAGCAAAACCACCACCGGTCCGGGTGGATATCGACGTATGGAGCTACATCCGTCGGCCGTCGCCAAACCAGGAGAAAGCAGGAAGGATAGGACAAGGAGGAGGACATACCTTAAGTTCCCCTTTAGGGGAAGAACTAAAGGGGATGAACCAAAGTCTTCTCCAAAGTCTTCGTCTTCTTTAGGGGAACCAAAGATCGAAGGATTCTTCTAATACGTTACATGCAAACATACCGAACAGACCAACTGACGCAGGCACCAGTGCCATATTCAACCAGGTGATAACTTTCCCGGTATGTCCTTACGTGCAATCTCCAAGGTGCGCAAGAGCGTCCGATCCAGAGCCTTGACCACATCCTCTGCATCACCGACGGCAGCAGCAGCACCCTGGTGAGTGGGCCGCACAGCGGCGGCGGCAGCGGGAGGAGGCGCTGCCGTCACTGCTGCCGCCTCTACGACCGCTTCGTCCTTCACCTCGCCGTCTCCTCCTTCGCGCTGACTTGTGCGAATAGCCATCACCTGCGGGGAGGTGCATGGAAGCAGTGTTTTTTAAACTTTTTCACCGTGGTAATTTTTACTGACCAAGTGGTTACTGTGGGGGTTTTCCTTGGTAACCACCTTACAAAAGTGTTTCCCCAGCGAGTATGCTGAACAGGAGCCCACTGGAACCATGCATCCAATGATCCAGCTGAACTCTATGTACAGCAACGTGTTCCCGAGCCGAGCTCTGTAAAGCATCACTGCTCCCATCCAAGCGTCAAAACATTTTTCAGTAGGTGGTCACTACAGGGGGTCCGTGGCCCCCTATTTCCTGGCGACCACCTGGTTACTGGCACGTGACTCAAAACATTTCCTAGTGACCACCTTCTGGAGGGGAATTATTTTCTCAGTAACCACTTGGTCACTAGTAATTACTTTTAAAAACACTGCATGGAAGGCCCAGCAGTGGCACAGGACTCCTTATCGTGCCGCAGGTTACGGGTGCCTCAGTTCCACACACAGGACCCCTTTTTACTCGGGACAAACGACCGTAAGGTAGTTGGACTCATCCCGGCTGCGCAGGGTGATCCTAGCATACGTGAGCCTACCCCCTCAGTCAAGAGCCCCTCTGGAGTCTGGACCCGGTATGTAAGTACCTAGCTACCCGGGTACCGCACACATACATACATACACGACCTCCCACCTGGTGTGCCAACATGTGCAGCTCCGCATACTGCTGTTGGGGTTGCAAAAGACCACCTAAAGAAGAAGGGGGCGGAAAGGGAGGGTACAACATGAGATGCGAGTGACACCAGCTAAAGTGGGAAAGAACAAGACAGGGAAGCAACTGCACGCACGGCGAGGCAAGAAAACGGGAAATCAATCGTGCGCAGAGTGCCAAAACCTAACCCCCGATGCCCTGTACACCGGCGGTAGAGAGCAACAAGTGGCCAAGGGGGTTGGGCCCCGGGGAGAAATCCAAAATGTGTAGGTAGATATGGGTACCTATACCGGAAAGCTAACCAACCTACCTGCATTACATGTCAACGCTAGTTCCCGACAATAAGTGGAACCTGAGGCCCGTGCTGGCAGCTCACCCATAAACGGCGTCGCGAGGCCGTACGGTGTACGGATTGGCGGCAGCTTAGCGCCCGGCAGCGGCGGCAGCTTCACCACCTGGCCCCCACTGACACCAGAACGAAGATCAGGTGTGGCTGGCGGCGGCGGCGCGGGTGGTTCTGGAGCCAGAAAGGGCTCCGCGGCCAGGGGTACCGGTAGCTCCGGGGTAACGTACATCGCCTGTGCGCTGCTGGGTCGCGATAAGCGGCCTCTTCCAGCAGCACCGCCTCCGCCACCGCCACCCCCAGCAGACGCTGGTGTAATTCCCGCCGCCTCCAGCGCTTCGCTCATCTGCGTGGAGGCACCGGTGTATGCGTGTCACAATGGTTATCCACCGAGCCGGGCTGGGGTGTCATTGCTGCAGCAGCTCTGTACGTACGGCTGAAAACAGCACCAACGCCCCGACATGCCCTCAAAGATGTCTTCACACATGCACACGCAATGGTTCCTCACAACATACAGACACACAAACATAGGCATACAGGCGAGCAACGCGCCACTTCTTGCTTGAGCTCTAAAAAGTATCGGGACCGGGTCTTGGGTGGTGCAGGGGTGGCGGACCGGGACTCGTGTCCACATAGTCCCCTCCCGGATACGCCAAGTCTCCGTCGCCACGGACGGCACCTTGTCAACTTATCCGGACATCTTCCATACGTGTTGGGCGTCTCGTGAGGTCCGCTTTGCCCCTTCCTTCCCTTTCCCGTGCCCACGCCAATCGACACTCTACCGATCTGTCGATTAGCGTATCGGTAGATGGCGAGAGACGTTTCCCCCCAAATTGACCATCTGGCAACTGGGCTAGATGCATCCGTTGACCTCTATCTATGGCGTTACCCCGCGTCCGTTTGTTCCATGGGTTCTCCAGTACTAGGCCGGGTTAAGCTTCCCAGGGTCCTATCGATGTGCGACCACCAGTTCAATCCCAAGCAGGCACATACACGCACCCACCCACCCTTACACGCGGTAACAGAGCCCAAACCCCAAGCCCTGACCCAGCTCAGCTCAACGCAGCACAGCGCAGCCCAACCGCGGAAGAGAGTCTCCGCTGCGCCCCACCTGAACCATAGCCGCAATCGGGGGCCTCATGCGCCACGTGGCCCAGCCGCTAGGACCCTCCGCCGTCAGGGTCTCCAAGTACGACTGTGGAATGGTAGTGCGGCAATAGTACGGCATATAACTTATTCTAGCTTGGTTAATTATGGTACATATCGCGATGTGCGCACACTCTAAACCTCACGAACGACAAGAAACACTGATCAGGAGCACGACACGAACGTGATTATCCCACGCAAGGCCAGGCCACGTCCATCAACCCCCCTCCGCCTACCTGCACGTGCGGCACCACCGGCGGCACCGTAAGCAGCTGGTTGGCATCTGGTCTGGAGTTGACGTCCCGACACAACATTGATGTGACCACGGCACGCAGTGAGGCGCTGTACGACTCAGGCAGGGGGTCGTACTGCCCTCGAATCACCTGGTGATGGTGGTGGCGACAGGGAAAATGCACGAGGTTTAATGACGGACCAGCTTTTCACATTAAAAACGTTCAGGCTCATCAAGGTGGCCTCTGTGCTCCTTGACAGCAGGGACGACGTCACTGCATAGGTAGGTGCCGATGCGGGGATGGAAGCACGGCCAGGGTGCAGGATCTGGACAGTGCCTCTGATGAAGGGGACACACAGGCATTGTTTCCCTAGCAGGAGGGGCCAATTGAACCGTTTGTTTGCAGCGGATCCTCCCTTACGAAGGCCCCAGCAGATGGGTCAGTTGTGTCGGGGTCTGACTGGGAACCCAAACTTGCACTTTAAGCCCTCTTCCTGGCTCTGTTCCTCTTCTTTCCCTTCCTCCCCTTCCTGCCATCCGGCACCGTGACAACTAGCCCCACTGCAGCCCGCCCAACTGGCCATCCCGGGTCTTCGCAAATCCACCACCCACGGCATCTAGGGGTAAAACCCTCCCAAGCTTCTCACCCGCAGCACGACCCGCGACAGGTTGTCCGCTGCAAATGCCGCCTTCCCCGTCATCATCTCGTACATGACGCAGCCCAGCGCCCAGACATCACTCTTGAAGCTGTACGGCTGTTCTTCGAAAATCTCGGGAGCCCTGCCATAGGGGGCAGGAGGGCCGGTCAGCCGTCATAGCCGCCGACCCAGTCTCAGGCGGAGGAAACCCACGATGAGGCCCCGAGGGGGAGACTCTGAGCCACATCGGGTGGCTGTTTATGTACACTACGATTTGGGAGCTGCAGCAGTCACTGCACGACTTCGTGACCATCAGCACCTGCCATCAAGGTTGCAGTTGCTGTCACTTGTATCTGTTTAAATACAAGACTGAGGACAGGCCCCGTGCGCAAGGGCTGTGCTTCCGTGCTTCGCAACTCACAACCCTTACAAACTGACCCGTACAATTTATGAACGGCTGCACAGATCTCTTGTCCACAAGGCATGCCCACAGACTCATGGGCTTTGCGCAGTGTATAAGAGAGCTGTTCGGCCCTCGTTTAGCATTCGATGTTAGGACGCCACTATGCGCTGTCATACCCGCTAGGTATTGGCAGGGATGGGATCAACCGAGGCTTACATGTAGTACGGTGTGCCGATAGGTGTCCGCGCCATTTCAAACGTGCGCTGCAGCTGCTTCGCCAGACCAAAGTCGCCCAGCAGGACCTGTCAGTGGACTATCCGGTCATTCTACACCAAAGATAGCCGCATGAAGACAAGGCTGTATGACAGGGGAGCTCAAAGGCGGACCGACCCTCTGTATTTGCCCGTCCTTCTTGGCCGGCCAACAGTCTGAGATCTTCGCTTGGTTCAGAGGCGTCCCCAGCCGCAGCCCCAGTATCGCAACCTCTTGGACCTACCTTCCCCTGAGACAGGAATATGTTTTGCGTCTTTACATCCCGGTGCAAAATGCGCTTGGTGTGAATGTACGACAGCGACAGCAGCAGCTGTACGAGCCACTGCCACACTTGCGACTCCGGAACCGTCTTGCCGTGTTTCCTGGATGTGGCATAGGAACATAACGAAACAGCTGCGTGGAGATTTCGGTCAGAAAATTCATTTCCGTCGGTTACGACAGCTCGGTGTACATGGTCGACAGGTCTACACCTGTCTACACCTTTGCGTCATTTGAACTCACGGCTAATGAAAGAGAGGCTGGCTTGTAAGCAAATCCCGTTTGGGCATGAGCAAGCACTGATCGCATGGTCATCCCGCAAAACAGAAAGCAATGGCTACGGTACCAGAGGATGTTGGGTAATGCCATGTTGTCAAGACCCGCGCGCCGAATAACGGGGGGGCCGCACAGCGGCTACAGGCCCCAGGGGCCCCATGCACATCATATCGCCAGCATGAGTCTCGATGAGACCAGTGATGGCCCCATCCGCGAGGATGCATGTGTCCAGAAAACGAAATCTGCTCGCCGAACAAAACGTGGGATTTTCCCGCTTCCATGCATAACACGGTACGGCAGCAAGCCTCTCATTTTGCAGTAATTCGGTCGCACAGACTCTGCCATCATCTCATCAGGCATTGAATGGAGGGCCCACAAGCTTTTTCTATGATACACAAGAAAGGCAATGATGGAATATGTCGTGGAAACACCGGCTAAGCTGGGAACCGCAAATGCACAAAACCGCCGGACCTTAGGTCTCGTATGTACCGGAACAGGTCCCCTCCCTCGCAGTACGCCATAACGAGACACAGGTCACCGTCCGTGTGCTTGAAGAACTACAGGGGTGGCAAGCGGGTGGGAGATGAGGGCTCCTTTCAGCTCTTTACATGTTCGTACAGCCTCCTTGCTGTCTACCTCTATTTACAAAAAAAAGAATTTAAACTACAATACTGCCTTCCATCATATCATCATGTTTAGAGACAATACTGTGTTTGCTCCACTGCGTGGGGCCGTGGCCGCGCGCTGATCGCCCATTAGCTTCTGCGTATGTTGTAACTAACAAAACCGACGCGATTGTTAATTTCAATCTGTCCCGACATTAGACCCACTCGACGTCTGCTCGACTGACCTCTTTGTAAGGAACAACATGAGGATGACGCAGCAAGCTTAGCACCTGACCTTCCCGCAGCGCGGCTTCCGCCTCTGATTGAGGGACGCCGTCAAAGTGAACCTTCTTGACCACATAGATCTCGTCCTCCGCTCTGCTCCGTACCTGGCAACGGCGGCAGAAACAAGTAACCCACAAGGTTGTGTCGCGCGTCGTATACTTGCCTTGAAGACGCTTCATTATGGAAGTCTTACTTTGTAGACCTTTCCATAGGTGCCTTTGCCTATAAGATCAAGCTCCTCGTAGTGATCCATACAAGATTTTATGGCTGCGGAACGGAGCTCAAGCCAAGGGGAGTCTCGATCGGGAGCACCAGACTAAGGGTGGAAATTCAGACCGAGCATTGCACCACTAAGATCCTTCCAATGGACAAACCGTAAAGCAAGCGCACTGTAACGTTCATGCAGAGGGTGCAAGCGGGAGATAACAGTGTCTTCGCGCACGCAGCTCGGTTAACAAGGTAGGGTTGAGATACTCGACTGGATTTTTTTGTTGTCAAATGCACCTTAAGAACAACAGTTTTGCACTTTACAGTCAGTGGCACCGGTATACACAGGTATCTCAAGGCGCAGTCCAAGGTTTGAGCTGTGTCAGATAAATATATCTTTGTCATAACTCTAGGGGTCCAATTATGCAATAGTTTTGCCAGGTACATTTCTCAGAACCATGAGACGTACGGCATACTGCCATGTCCTCTCTCTCTCTCTATTGACTACTGCCGGCCAATATCTCTTGGTTTAGATTCCTCTGTTTCGGTCTTCAGCAAAAGTAGAACTTGTCACGGACAACGTACCTAAGTTGCCTACCCCAGTCATTAATACTAGTTGCCGGTTTACAAGTTGTGTAGGCAAACGGCATCGTTCAGCGCTCATCCACTTCATCTTATTGGCCGCTTCCTGCGGCGCGCTTCACTGTAACCAGGTGCGATGCCGGCGGTGCCATGTCATTGGGTTGAGCAGCTGGCGGTCGCTAGCATCGCAAGTCTCGGTTGCCTGAAATTATCTTGCATGTCTAAGGGTCAGGGCTCTCTGCTTTTTGTTCACGTTGGTCCTGGGACCCAGCCACGATCGGACTTAGGTTGTGTAAGGACTTATTGGCCCCCTCAGTGGCACAGATAAGTGTGATGTACTTAAGAATTTGCGTACAGTCCATGCATGGCCAGAAATCTCCTTGCTGTGGTCTTCAGAAGGGATTCATGCCGCGCACACCTTGCCCTGGGCCGTCGACCTGCAGGGTTAACTACTTTGAGCTCTGCTGAAGTATCTATAGTCATGGGGGAAACACGTCAGAGCTTCTCCGTTGCCAATATTCTTGGCAAAGGTCCGCATGACCCAAAGCTCGAAGATATGTACCGAGTCGACAAACAGATTGGCAAGGGTGCTTTTGGTGTCGTGCGGGCGGGCTCGAAGAAATCAACAGGCGAGCCTGTGGCTGTCAAGTCTATCAGCAAGGCCAAGCTTGTCTGCAAAGAGGATGTAAAGGACGTGCAGGCCGAGGTTGCCATCATGAACCTCGTTGCCGGGCACCCTTACGTTGTTACTCTCAAGGTGTGCATGAGAGCATGAAGGTGTACGTGCAGACCTGCGCTTTGCATTCCGCGTGGGTTGGGCCGTTATTGTTGTGAGCCCCAGAAGTTTTCATTTGGCATCTTTCACGTGCAGAGTACACACGAGGATAAGGAGTTTGTGCACATTACGATGGAGTTGTGCGCGGGTGGCGAGCTTTTCGACAGCATCGTTGAGGCGGGGAACTTCACCGAGAAGAAGGCTGCGCTCATTTTTCGCAAGATGGTGGAGGTCGTGAATCACTGCCACGAGCTAGGAGTTATGCATCGCGATCTCAAGCCAGGTAGGTCCTGGCGCTTGGGTTAGGGCTCCGTACAGGTCAACCAGGCACGTTGCGTTCTATACACCGATGCTGCCCTGTACTTCACCCATGTGAATGACGGAACCTATTGTACCTATCAACCCGGCCTCCCCACACTGCTGGCAATGACTGCGTGTTGCAGAGAACTTCCTGCTGACGAGCAAGGGCCCGGAGGGTGAGCTTAAGTTGACCGACTTCGGCCTGGGAGTGTTCTTCAAGCCTGGCGAGCGTTTCCGCGACCTTGTCGGCAGCCCCTATTACGTCGCACCTGAGGTGCTGCGCAAGAACTACAGCCATGAGGCCGACATGTGGAGCCTGGGCGTCATCCTTTACATCCTGCTCTCCGGCCTGCCCCCTTTTTGGGGCGATACCGAGGACCAGATTTTCAAGATGGTCTTGAAAGGTCACCTTGACTTCAAAACCGAACCTTGGCCCAAGATTTCGGATGCTGCAAAGGACTGTGTCCGGCGGTTGCTGGATCAGGACGTAACGAAGCGCGCCACCGCGGCGCAAATCCTGAAGCACGAATGGCTGATTAAGGAGGGCGTTGCGCTGGATATTGCCCTGGATAGCGTGGTTCTCAAGCGGCTCAAGCAGTTCGCGCAGATGAACAAGCTAAAGAAGGCCTGTCTGATGGTAATTGGGCAGCATCTCACGCCGGATGAGATTGCAGGTGCGCGTTGGTTTGACCCAAATCAGCAGTGACAGCAATGGTAATGGAAGCACCCGAAAATGAATTAGCAGCAGGCGAGGAAGGTTCCCGGGAAAAACCTGAAGTAAGAGCATGGGAAACACGTTGCGCGAGGGACCTGCTGAGACCGGGACTGGCGGTAACCAGGGCGGCAACCTTTAATTAGCGTGGTACAGGGCATTCCCTTGGGAGCCTTTGCTTGGCAAGCCTCTGTCCTGGCTCATCTGCACCGTCGTTATTGAATTTCTCAGTTGAAGATTAGAAGCCCTGAGGCTTGGCTGCATGATTCCAAAGAGCTATGTGCTTTTGGAACTTCGATGTGGGCTCCGGGGCCAATAACATCTGCTTGGGCAGCACATGTACACCTATGGGTTTTAAGAAATATGATGTAGGAGCAAGCACATAGCAGCAAGTAGATGTCTCAAGGGTGCGGTTGCATCGCGGCCTAAGCTGAAGTTGTTCCTTGACAGCTTCCTTGAGGGTATCAGCTGCAAATGGTGTCCTGACACCGCAACACAATGTCCGCGGCATTAATTGCTGTAGCACTGTGGCAGACTGGCCTACACGGTAAGACCGACCGTGGTAGCATACATGCGGCTTGCTAGATTTAAATGTGCATTTTTAACGATACCTGGGATAGGGTCTCTGCATTCTGGGACATCAGTGGTGAACCGGACGAGGTCTGCATTTTTGACCCTGGCGACGAAACGGTAAATGCTCCATACCCCGTGTCTGTTGTCCCGTCTTTCCGCTCAGGCCTCAAGGAGCTGTTCAAATCGATCGACGCGGACAGCAGCGGCACGATTACGGTGGAGGAGATGCGCAAGGCGCTAGCGCAATGGGGCCACAAGATCAACGAGGTGGAGCTGCAGCAACTCATGTCAATCGCGGACGTGGATGGCGACGGTCTTATCGACTATAACGAGTTCGTGGCGGCCACGATGCACCTATCGAAGCTGGAAAAAGAGGAGCTGCTGCAACAGGCATTCAAGCAGATCGACAAGGACGGCAGTGGCACAATCAGCGTTGTGGAGCTGGAGCACGAGTTGAAAAAATTCGGTATCTACGACGACGCCAAGGAGCTGCTCGCCACCGCTGACACGAACGGTGATGGGCATATTGATTATCTCGAGTTTTGCTCTATGCTCAGGAACAACAACGAAGCGCTCAAGCAGTCAACGCGGGCAATTAAGCGCCAATACTCGAAATTCTTCTGAGCTGGTAGGTTGAGCTGGGATGCATAACTGTGAGGCTGGTTAAGACGTGTGTAGGCCTGTTTTGGATTTCTGGACTTTGCTGGGTCGAAGCAGGAAAATAGGTGATTAGGTTGTCATCGCAACAGAATGGCCCGCTCAGGAGCGGGGGCGCGTAAATGGCAGATAGGTAACGCGAAGGCGCATCATGCAGGCCCTGGATACGACCGGCCAAAAGCGGTACCTGGGGCAGGTTCTACAAGAGTATGGCGGAAATGAGTATGGGTTCGCGTTCTAATAGTTCTCTAGAGGGCAATCAGCTCCTGTTTCATTCGGGTGTATTGACTTCTTGCAAGAGCACCCAACAGCAGCTTATTAGGCAGGTGGGGTGCGACGTCGGCTGTGCTGCAACCGGAGGGCAGCTTGACGACGGGTTTAGGCTGGTGGGGCCCTTTTAGGTCGGTGGGTTAGTGGATGGCCTACAGGACATGAGTAAGAGCGAGGATGGGTATTAAGGGATTTGCATGAGCTGATACGTGCAAGTGCGGCTACTGCATGAGCGAAACGGGGATGGGCTAGCCTGATTGCGGCTGGATGTGGCGTTTCCAACGTCTCAGCATTCTAAGTATGGCAGATTGCGCCAGCTGGCCGCGCGTATTCTTGTTTACGTTGCTACGCTGTTTTTGCGTTATCTTTCGCATTGTTTCGGGTCCCCTTCGGCGAGCAAGAGGGTCGGCAGCGGGGTCGAACCCTTTGATGTGGCGTGCGAACCAAGGTTCAGGAGCATGGCTGAGAACTAAGGCCGTAAAAGAGCGTTTCGTTTGCGCTGCTGGTATGGGGTTTGCGTACTGCTGAATGCGTTTCAATTTCACTTCATTCGCGTTCTAGGTCACTGCTGTGGATGACGGTGGGACTGTGGGCGCGCAGGATGGGAAAGAATTGACTGACTAAGCCGACGATTAACCATGTCAGCAAATGCATCGCCGATACATCCTTCAGGTATTCCGGCGTTCCCTCCTCTGAGGGCTTCCCTTTTTCTGATCCATGTCTGCGTTCACGGGGCCTGGTAGGATGCGTAGGCTCTTGCGGGCAGCGGGGCTGCATAGTTGCACCTCCACAGTTGCTAATCGTGAGGGAGTGAATTGTTGTACGTCAAGATGGCACATCGACATTTAAGACCCTTACGTACATTGAGTTGGCCAATCAAGCGGAAGGCGTGCGGGGATTATTCAACCATTGTGATGGGCATTTTGATGTCCCGCGCCAAGGTCCTTTGACAGGCGGTCATGGTAAGGGATCAGCTGCCGAGAAGGTGTGTGTACCGTGCAGGCGGGGACCTGGTCAGGAGCATTACAACGGCATTCGGTGGTATCGATTAGTGCACAGCCGTGCATATTTCCCAGCGCAAACCATGCAGATGTGTCGGCTAGGGTGCTTGAGGCATCGCTACATGATAGGGCATATGGTGCGCTCCTATCAACTACGTGTGTAGTCGAATCCCTGTGAGCTTCTGTGGCATGGAACCATGGATTTGGCAATGGCCAGTGTGCAGGGCGTGATTCAATAGTAGATTTAGTGACCGCTGCTGTGCAGATGCTCAACTACGAACATCCGGACAAATGATGCCAGTCCAGCCGAAACGCTTTAAACGTTTGAAAGCGCCATGACGGCGATGGCAACGTTTGGCCAGGCCATTTATGGACTAACTCGCCGACAGATCCATGCGCCTATCTGCATTTGCGCCTGGAGACTGCACACACCTGTGTGTTCGCTCGTACAGCCAATTATGGTTCTGATTCGCACGTGCCATGCTTACGTCCAGCTGTTTAATGCCAATTACTGAAGTTAGGGGACCGGCAGCAGGCGTCAATTGCTGCGGCTAGGGGAGAATGGTAACCACGTGCCTTGAAGTTCTCGCATCCAACAAGCTCTTGCAACTGCAGCCCAGGAATCGTCCATCCCCGGAATGAGCTACCGTGCACACCACCAACTCCCATACCGTGCATGTTGTACACCACGTGGGCAAGTCACACCATCGTCCACCACCGGCGGTCACGGACAAGCCAAATCTGGTCCTATATACGCGTATGTGCACGCTCAAAGCACCTCGAGCAAACGGTTTGAACCATCGACCCTGAACCCGTACGTATGGAGCTTGGATGCCACGGTGAGGGCACTCGAGACCCTCCATCAATACTGATTGGCCACTGCAATCACCATATACCCACCCATTGCGTCGTAAGTGCCCACAACTCGTCACCTGAGATTGTTCCTAAGCACCTCTAGTCAGCACCTCGCGTACCATGCGGGCAGGGACGCCCGCAACATTTCCTAAATTCGGCGCTAAAAAGCTAAACCACCTTTCCTTCCTCAACATTTATTGCCTCGCCACTAAAGTCGGATCTTACAGCAAGGAGGGCAAGCCGGTCGCTGCACCCGCCGTCCCGCCTGGACCCGCCATCGCCGCCTCTACCGCCTTACTCTCCTGCAGCGACAACTGCACCGCCAAGGCCACGAGCTCATCCTCTGTATATAAGTCGTAAATGTTGACGCCAGGCGCTGCCGGAAAAGCAGTAGCAGCAACGGCGGTAGCGGCGTCCGCTGCGTCCTGCTCATCACCCTGCCTCCGGAGAACTACGGCCCCCAACGCCGAGAGGGCGCCGCTGGTTGTGGGGCCTGAGAAACCTGCAACGGGCCCCGGCTGTGGCAAATCCCTGTCCTTTTCTGATGCTGGGGCTGCTGCAAGTAGGTCCGCCGGCCCTCCCTCAGGTTGCTGCCCTGGGTGAGGCGGTCCCGACAAGGCGGTGGAGGGCATGAGCTCCAAGAGGGGCTGCTGAGCTCGGGGGGCTTCGTGCCTGGCGACCAGGGAGGAGGAGGGAGAAGGAGATGGGAGGATCACATATATGAATTTAAACAGTGGAATGAATGAAAAAGGAGGACTGCATGCAGAACACAAAAGGGAAAACGAATGCTTGCCGATATACAAAACACCGCCGGCAGAACTCTTAACGTGACGATTTAACGCAACGACAGAAGATGCAGGAGAAGATCGACACACATGCCCCAAGTCCCGACGACGATCGCTCTCTATCTAAAACGACCGACCCGGCCCGGGGCAAAGCCTTTCCGCCGCGGCGGCAGAAGGCAGCGCTGCACATAAGGGCACCCGTAATTACTGAGACCATCCATATACCCGAAACGCAGGTCTTTCAGCTTGGAAATCCCAGTCATCGTAAGCGCTATGGCCTTCATTGACATGACGGCAAGCCGCACGCGTGCCAGGCCCATCAAAGATGCGCCACGAAACCCTGCAGGACCGGGGGGCCCTACACAAACCCTTCATCCCAGCTTCCATCCCAGCCACCTCTAGATTACTAGGACGGCACAGCCACGCGCACTATCTAGAGAGCCAACTGACGCCTGGCTGCACGCAGGCACCCGTTCACGACCCCACTCACGACTTGCTTCGCCCTGGGAGCACATCCTCGGCAGCCGCTGGCCCTGCTGATGCTGTCGTCGACTCCGTCGCCGCCGCCATCGCCGGTTGCATCGCGGCGGCACTCTCCACTAGTAATGGCGGCGGCGCCAGAGCCGGCGACGTCGATGGCGCTCCAGCTAACAATGCGTCAGGGCAAACTAACGATGACATCGCCGCCGCCGCCGCCGCCGCCACGCGCCCTCCCGCTCCGCTATCCGCAGCTCCCGCACGTCCGAGTGCCCCCCCTCGTCCGAGCGACCCCGGCCCGGACCCGAGCGCAGTGCTAGGCCCTGGCCTTGGCCCCGTTCCACCATTCCCTATCGAAGATGGCTGTAGCACCCCCGCCTGCAGCTCTTTCTGCTGCTGGGTCCCGGCAGCTTCGGCGGGGCCGGTCCCGTTTTGCCATTTCGTCGACGATGAGGACGAAGCCGCCGCCGCCGATACTGAAGCCAACGAAGTCATGGGAGGCGGCGGCACTCCCCCCGCCTCTAACAGAGACAACTCCAACGCCGCTCGAAGCTGCTCCTCTTCCTCCTCCTCCCTCGTTGGCAGCAAACGTGCCATCGCCATGATGCTGCTAGCCATAATGCCGTTCGGCAGCGGCGGCCCCGCCGCCATGGACGCTCCTCCCTTTGCCGCTGCCTCCGAAACCAACACCTCCGACCACTGCGGATCCTCCCCTAGCAGCCGCGCCGCTAGTGACTCATCATCGCTGGTGGTGGCGAACAGCTTGGCCAACTCGGCGCTGCTCCGAAGCCCGCCGCTGGCGGCGCCGGCCAAGGGATTGTCGGCGGCGTTAGCGGCACCGGCGGGGCCACGGGACGGGCTGGGAAGACCCCCGGCCATCCTGCAGTGCGAATGCAGGGGTGGAGGTATCGGGGTGTGTGTGTGTGTGTGTGTGACCCAGTTTGGCGCACACACACCCGCACACATTCGCTCATGCAAGGGCGCAGCGGCGTGGACGATGAAATGGCGGTTGATCCCGGACGCTTTGAGGTGGAAATGTGCAAGATGCCAAGTTTTGAAGCCATGGGAAAGTAAGGAGTAATACATGGCGTGGGTGGGCAACGAGGGAAAGGAGGACAAAGGGGGAAGCTCAGCATGGGGGTTTAGGATGGCGTTCTGGGGAAAAAGGGGGCCAGGGCCGTGCACACACAAGTGAAACCCCCTGGGCTGGTGGAGGCTGATAACCACACGGCCGCGGGGGCCCCACCAGCGTGTACACCTCTTCCCTCCGACCCACCTGAGGTGCCTCCTCCCGAGCGCCAGAACCCAGGATAGATGACCACTCCCTCCCTAACACCCGCCCTACCCTTGCACCTCTGCCCCCCCACCCACCCACCCTCCAACCCTCCCGTGCACACCTCCGGAAGCGCTGCCGCTCCCGAGCCGCCTTGTCTGGGTCCAGTTCCCACAGCCTGGGCTCCCAAGGTGCCGACCGTGAAGATACACCCGTAACATCCACACCTTCCTCATCCACAACCACATCGGCTTCCTCCCCGCAACCACCATCTTCAACAGCTCCACCCCCGCAAGGACCCGCGGCATCCTCCGGCAGTGGAGGTAAGGGCAGCGGCAATGCCGCTGCTGCTGCCGTGGTCGTGGCGGCGGCGGAGCCGCTGCCACTGCCACCGCCGCCGCTGGGGGCGGAGCCGGGGGCTGTCGCCGCCGCCGTGATCAGCGCTGGATTGGCTTCGGGCTGCCTGAGGCGCATCGGCGGTGGCCGCAGCGGCCGTCCCGCACCGCCCCTGCTGCTGCTGCCCCTGCTGCCCCCTGACCCCAGGGTTGCCGCTGCGGGGCTGGATATAGAAGTGGAAGTGGATGCGGATGTGGAAAGAGTGAGGTCAGCCGGCTCCAGGAGGTGCTCCAGCAGCAGGGCGCGGTGCCAGAAATTCGACACGNTANGAGCAGGGTTTTGGAGAGTGGGNCCGGNTGGGGGGTGGGGTGGGGGGTGGGCGGAAGAGAGAGGGGACCCGTGGGGTAGACATGACAGGGTGAGGGAGCGGCTTGCGAGGTAGGATTTAGCTGGAAGGTAGGTGCTGCACGCACCACGTGGGGGCTTTTGACCACACAACAAGAAAGGTCTACTATCACGCGTGGCATGAAGTACCAGGAGGCATCGTGAGCAAAATTACCATTGTTGGACCCACCCGAGCACCACCCCAGCATGAGCCCATGTAAGATCAGATAAGCTGGCTACCGTAGCCCTAAGCCACCTGGTCCCCCTGCCCTCCCAGCCACCCGACGGCGCCCACCTGTGGTAAAAGAACTCGGGTCGCCGGCTGTTGTGGTCCCCCTCGAACCTGGAGGGGAGAGGCGGTGGTGGCGGTGGTGATGGTCCCATTGGTGTATGTATGTATGTATGTATGTATGTATGTATGTATGTATGTATGTATGTATGTATGTATGTATGAATGTATGTTGTTACAGGGTGGTTAACTTCGCCAGCGGCCCCTTTCCCGGGCAGTCCCTGCTCTCCCCTGCTAGAGGGGCACCCTAATCCGTCACCCCATCCGACTTCAGAATGTATTCGTTGGGTTCGGCAACTCACCACCAGCATCCAACCAAATCTAGCGGATCAACGGCGCATCAACTTAGTTCCTGGTTAGCTCGCAAGTTGATTTTATCACGTCCTACATCGTCCATATGATGGGGGGCCACCTCCCATTCCACACTCCTCAAACACCCGACGAGCCGGCAGGCGGATTTGAACCCGGGTGGGCCGGAAGCAGAAGTCAGGCCATAACCTCTGCCAGCCGCCTGCCTGCCTGCCTGCCTGCCTGCCTGCCTGTATGAATGTATGTATGTATGTATGTATGTATGTATGTATGTATGTATGTATGTATGTATGCATGTATGTATGTATGTATGTATATATGTATCCTGACAGTGTTGAGGGGCCGGTGGGGGGAAGACAGTCCCCGAGGTGGGGAGTTGGTTCGCCAACCGCCAACCCCTCTTCCCGCCTCCCTCCCACCTCGCCCCTGCCCTCTTCCCGCCGCACCTTATGAGTTCCTTCTCCCCCGCATACGCCGCGTGGAGTGCCTCCGCGTGCGAAATGCGAATGAATGTGTCCCCCGTTGCGTGTCCGAACAGCGCGGGGATGTGGGACTGGGGCACGACGTCCACCGGGGTGACCTGCGGCCGCCAGTGGGGGGAAGGGGGAGGGGGAAAATGACGAACCACGAGCGAGTGAAGCTGATGCCAAGGCAAGGCTGCTGCGGCCGATGTGAAGGAAGCATAACAAACCAAGGGGGGAGGGGGAGGAGGAGGGGGAGGGGGGAAGTAATGTGGGTATTAGAAGGTGAGGTCAGCTTCAGAGAGGACGTTCGGCAGGAGGCAGCGCCCGCCTCAACCACCACAGGCATCCGTGCGTCTTGCAAAGGCATTTTCCGCCCCCACAGGCTTACATCACACATACTGGCAGTTGGACGTCTGCTGCTGTTTTGGTTGACTTCGGATAACTTCCTTCCGAGGAAGGGGGGCGGAGAGCTCGAGTAAAAACACCCCCCCCACACACACACAAATACACACACAAAAGCACATTGCCGGAGCCCCAAGCAATGACCCCAAGAACCTCCAGGGGAGGGGGAGAAAGACGAACCACACGCGATTGAAGCTGGGGGGAGGGGAGGGGTGAATGGATATGTAGGAAACACGTACATTCATACCAACTATCAGTGCTTTTGCTCCTCCCCACCTTGCCCCCACCTCCAGCCCCTTTCCCCCACCATCTTCCCCCCCACCACCACACACGCACTTTGGTAATGTCGAATCCCGCCCTCTTCAGGACGGATCTCTTCATTGCGGCCAGAGCCAGTTTAGCCAGGGCCCGGGGGATGGGCAGCCTCTGCTCCTGAACGATTTCCAACATCAGATCTGTCAGTCGGGCGAAGGGGGAGTCCAACACCTGGGGGTTGCGGAGTTGGGGGGTCGAGAGGGGTTGCGGGGTTGGTTACGGGGGGTTTGAAGCCTTAGATAGCAAGTGAGATGGAAGCGGTGTCCGCCCGCAGATAGACAGACAGGGTCGGACTTCGCCGGCCGGGGTTTGGCATTAGATGTGTTTGTCTCTTTACGTCACACATTTCCTCAGAAGCTCTGCCTCACAGCAACCCCGTTAAACGTCACCCGACCGCAATCTTGTCTCCCTATTCCAATCCGCTATCCCTGGCCCCCCTCTCCCCCACCCTCAAAACACACACACGCACGCACGCCCTTACTTCCCCCCTCCTGCCCCCTTCCCCCCACTCACCATTCCCGCAATGGAGGGGTCTCTGTGCGAGTACAGCAGCGCCGTCACCGCCCCCATGGACCTCCCCCACAGTCCCAGAGTGGACACCCGCCCCGCCCCACGCAGGTGCTCCACAGCGGTGGCCACGTCGTCCACCTCCTCAGCACCCAGAGTCACCCACTGGCCCTCAGACAAACCACTACCCTGGGGTGCGGGGGAGGGACGGGGATGGGGGGAAGTGGGCGGGGCATTAGGGGAAGTAGGAGGTGGGGGATTGGGCCTCGGGTTGCCGTGGGCCTCGCTAACCCCCCCCCCCCGCCTCCCCTCCCCCAGCTTTGTGTATGATCGCCCGCCTGCCTCCCGGCCCACGGCCAACTGCGGGTCCAGGTCCTCTCTCACCGCGAAGTCCAATGTGAAGACGCTGACTCCGCAAGGTATGAGCACGCAGATGGCCTCCTCCGCATCCCTGAAACATCATCAACATCCACATCGCCATTACCATCGCCGCCGTCGCAGCATTCGTCAGCATTAAAAGGAAGCGGAAGAAGGAAGGATGGAGAGAAAGAAGGAAAAGGGGGGGGTATATGTGCAAAGCTACAAGGTACAGCTGCCGTCAGGAGGCGGCGGTCAACTGCTGCGTCCGGCGGGGTTGCTGGGTTGGGTTTCTGGGGGCCTGGCGGGGACAGTAGGCGAGAGCTGTGTGAAGGCGGAGTGTGAGTTCCCTAAACACAAACATGCATGTACACACACACACACATCCTGCCGCCTCAGCCAGGCAAGGCCAGAGGGTCTCCCCTCCCCTCCCTTTTCCTCCAGCTGTCGGGCCCACCCACCATCATGTCAGCTACCTGCGGCTGCCGCTGTTGCAGTGGCAGTATATAACGCACGGCAAGCGGCCGTCCTTGCCGCGAACATGCTTGGGAAGGTAATGGCTACATTGCAGGAGCAGTCCGCGCTTATTCGTCTGCACAGCACGGCACAGCACACGGTCGGGGGGAGAAGGCGTCACAGGGCGACGCAGGAGAGATAGACTCTCCAACAACGGCAACCTCGCAAGTCTTTATTAAGACTGAAGGAGCTGAATATGGTTGCTGAGCAACAAGGGCGTTCCTTGGGACTTAGGAAACTGCTTTAGAGCTAGCATTCTGCGGCAAACTCCGTACCAAAGTCAAGTCTTCGCGGATGCCCGGATATCGCCCGACGCGAAACAGTCGGCGACTCCCACCGACCAGCTCGTCAGGATAGATATACTCATCCCTGCGCGGAACAAGGGTCACCGATAGGGCCGAAGCGACAAGCTCAAAACCGGGACGAAAGCGGTCGTTTCCCGTTTCTCTGCTTGCAACATTTTGGCTGCAAAGAGTAACACGCGCTCCTGGTCTCTTGTGACCAGTCGCGTGGACGGCCTGTCGGCATGACCTGTCAAGGTTCACGTAAAATAGCTATTCCCATGGCAGAACTCCTGCCTCCTTGCCTTGGCGGTCGGCAGATGCAGTCCACAAGCGAATCCCATAATGCACTGAGCCCCGGCATTCAACTTGCTGAGTCGTCGGCATACGCCCGGTTACTCAGCGGCGACAGCCGGTTTCATGCATCCTGTGGACCTCTGCGGCCTATTGGAAGCTTAGTCATGACACAAGCTATGAAAAGAGACGTGCTGCGCTTCTAGCTACTAAGTTAATAATATCAAAAAGCAGTTTGCGCCTTTTATTGCACACAAGCTGTCGATGAAATCCTCAATTTGCGTGTAATGGACACAGTTACTTTGCATTGCCATAGCTTTAACTTTTTGGTGGATGCAAGTCCGTACGACGCTTATCGTCCATTCCTCCATACACAGCCGGAGGGCTATACCCTTGGAGTGGTATGAATGTTTGGTAAATAAACCCTATTATCCTAGATATAGCTTTTATTATCACTAGCCCAATGGCCCCAGCGACAGTCCGCCCGTTCACAACATCAGCTCAGCGCCATGGCAACATGCTGCTTCGGCCAGCACGATACACACGCGTAGTGCTGCCGCCGATGGCTGCACGAAAAGGCTTTGGTGAACCAAAGGTATTGCGCATGATACGGTTGGTGTGGCTGGGGCCGCTCTTGTGCGACGCCTACATACCAATGTTGTCTTCAATACATGAAATAAACTGGAATACTCCTGAAATCGCAGCACCTCCCTCCCCATTTCCGGTCCATTTAGCCGCACGCCTCAATGCGCCGCTCTAACTACATACCCCGCCTCCAAACATGCGCAGAGGGACCAGGCTAAGCGTCCAGAGGCACCCCCCCAGCAGCAACAAGGTGCGTTCCATCCCATGGTTAGGAACTCCACCAAAAGCGCTGTGTGGGCGCCGCAGCTCGCGAAGGGAGCTACCCGGCCACCTGTGAGGCCAGGTGGCAGTCCAACGTCAGCCGCACCGACGTGTCAATGAAAACAAAACTGCTGTCTGCAGTAGTGTAAAGACGTGCGCGTTGTTATCCATTGAACACTTAAAGGAAGGTCTCTCCAGGGAGGGAGGGAGGAGGGGAAGTAAAGGTCCTTCCTCTAGGAGAACAGCAGCGGAGCACTCGCACTGCCCGCGGCACCAACGACCTCCAGGGCCGCGGCACCTTCATCACGGGGGGGGTGGCAGCGGGGCGCGTTTATTACCTATTAGGCAGCCTGGACCTGCGGGGCCACCTGTGTGGGGTCGGGTGGTAGGGTAGGCATAAGCCAGGGACGGCCGGAAGGGTTCCCCTCGGCCCGAGGAAGCACCTCGACCCGCGCAACCCAGCCTACCTCCTCCTTTCCTCTCGCCGGGGTCCCCGATCTCTTAAGGTCACGTAATCTCCCTTCCCGCTTCTGACGGCTGCCCGCCGCCGCAATGACTGGGGCCGCGCCGTCGGGTTCCGACTTCCGTCGCCATTCTAAATCCACACGGCCACTGGGCCTGACGTATTGCCGTATTGCGTCGGTGCCGCGGCATGCTGGCATTGGCGCGCGTGCAAGTTTACCTTTACACATATTTGCAGACAGGGGACGCGGCTTCTAACCTCTATTTCCAAAACCCATGACTCGACCCCGGGTGTGTCATGTCCTCCCCCTCCTTTGCCCTCATGTCCTCCCCTGCTCCTTGAGACCCCAAATTGCGGCCCCGGCACAGCTCCCGCTGCCTGGTGTAGGCCATTGCGACATTCCCCGCTGCCAACACGAAGGACCCCCCCACACATGACCCCAGACCCACCCACCCCCTTGCCGCTGATCATCAGGACCTGCCTCCACTAGCGGCAACGGTAGCGGCCCAGCGGCGTTCGAGGCGGCCCAGTCCGGGGGGCCCGTGCCTCGTACCCGGGTGGTGCGGGAGACACCCCAGGTATGAGCGAGGCGGGGGCGGGGGGGGTCTTCGCGGCTTCATGATGGGACGTGATGAGGGCTCATGCTGGGCTGGGTCGGCGGGTCAGTGGGCGGGTCAGTGGGCGGGTCAGTGGGCGGGTCAGTGGGCGGGTCAGTGGGCGGGTCAGTGGGCGGGTCAGTGGGCGGGTCAGTAGGCGGGTCAGTAGGCGGGTCAGTGGGCGGGTCAGTGGGCGGGTCAGTGGGCGGGTCAGTTGGGCGGGTCAGTGGGCGGGTCAGTGGGCGGGTCAGTGGGCGGGTCAGTGGGCGGGTCAGTGGGCGGGTCAGTGGGCGGGTCAGTGGGCGAGTCAGTGGGCGGGTCAGTGGGCGGGTCAGTGGGCGGGTCAGTGGGCGGGTCAGTGGGCGGGTCAGTGGGCGGGTCAGTAGGCGGGTCAGTGGGCGG